CAGAGACTGACACTCGGGATTTGTCCTGCATCTTCTCCAGATGTTTGGAGATCGTCTGAAGCAAAGAACCACCTCCCCTGCTAGCTGCCTGAGGCTCCTAAATTTGCGTTTGGTTCGCAACCCAGAGAGACTTGTTATGGGTGTTACCGTGTGCAAGGTCACCACCCTGAAGTAAACAGAGTCACTGACCAATCGGCATGGAGGAATGATGGGTGTCATCAATCACGGAGCAGATAGCAGATCAGACAGAATCCCGTTCCAGCCTGACACACTGATCGATACTGTCAAAAGGAATCAGAAGCCGCCGCTATCCTCTCGAACCGTGGATCTGTCTCTTCGGGAATGCTGCAGCTGTCTGCTTTAGTATCTGCTGTACTCGGGGAACATTTAACAACATAGATGTTTAATTTAAGAATAACCCCCCCCCAGAGAGATTTCAATGCCCCCAAACCACCCTCTGCTCCCACCCACTCGATCTGGAGATACTGTGTGCATACCCACCGCTACATTCACATTAAAATACATCGTGTTTTATCATAAACCTCATTCCGAGAGGATGCATTAAAGTATTTGGCTGAGGCTGCCGGAGATTCTGTACAAACAGACGTGCCTTTCATGCCGTGAGCTAAACATGCCTGCGGTGATTTTCCAGAAATAGAAATAGTGATATTTCACTCATTCCTGTGGATGAAGGATTTCTCCTTTCGTTTATCCGATGCTGCTCCTCATGAGACATACACAGGTTAGAGCCAGCTTGGGGGGGCATGCAGGGTAAGAGCTGGGGGCGAAGGGCTTTACTCAGGGGCCTAACTGTGGCATCAGTCTGCCAGCTCAGGGATTTGAACCAGCAACCTTCTGATCACAGGTGCAGAATACTAAGCCACTGAGTCACACACAGATCTCTGATGAAATGCACTCATAACGGTGTTCATTAGCCGCCTCACGCAAAGCCCTTCAGCCTCCTCTGTCCTCCCCGGTGCTTCTGTGCCCATCCCCCCGGGAATGAAGGCCGAGGCGGTCCACTGGAGCTGTACCCTCCAAAGCCCTCATCTCAAGGTCCCCCGAGTCCCACTGCTAATCCACACAGTTCAGGCTCCAAATGTAATTATGCCTCCTTCAGGCTAGATCACCACAGGAAACCGGAAGTTTGTCGGTTCATAACTTCCGAGTGATGCTCGGTTGACTCGGTTACCCATCCCAGTTACCTGATTACTGCCCCCCACCCCCACCCTTAGCTGTGTGATCAGTGCCCCATTTGGAGAAGTTGAGGTTCCGTCCCTGTAGGTTTACACCGTGGTATATAGGGACCTGAATGTTGGCGTGGTGATGCTTTCGTGCCTAAGAGGGCAGTTGATTATTTGAAAAGCTGTAGATCTGTAAAGTGGGGGTGAAACAGATGCTGTTGGGGTTGTTTGGGGGGGCTCTGACTGTACTTTCTGTGTCCGTGTTTGGTTCTGCGCTGTGTGTTTACTGGGCACTGTGTCGTTACAGTGGAGGATAACTTTGGTACTCAGCGTGGTGGGGGTTTAAACCAGTGCGCCACACAGGGGCCGTGTGTTTTTAATCCCGCGTGAAACTCCCTCTCGTGTCGGTGTTCCATCTGTCTTCACGCCCCTGTAAGCGGGACTTTCGGATCTCTGAGCTCGCCTTCATATCTTTGTCTGTGAGCTGCTGAGCAAGTGTGTGTTTCTCTCTCGTGTCCCTGGGTCTGTTTTTGCCATTGGAGAAGCTGCAGATTTGCCCAGCACTTCCTCTCTCCCCTCGTCTCCCTCTCCCTCCCTCCCTCCCTCCCTCTCGCTCGCTCGCTCACTCACTAGCGGAGGTCACATGACTCTGCGCTGGGTGATACTGCAGGAAAGATGATCTTCAGGTTGCTAGGACAACAAAAGGTGCCTGGATGGAGGATGATCAGCCTCCTCTCGCTACCTAATGCTCCCGCGTGAGGAGGGGGGGGCGGCGTGACCCAGACAGGAAGTCGGCCTCCGCTCTGCTCCGCCGTTCCCGCCGGTCCCGGGAGGGGTGGGGGACAGACAGACGCCCGCTGGGATACTGTTAATTCCTTGCGCTGGTGCCCCGTTTCGGCTCTCGTCCATGCGAGTGACACACAGCACCGCTTGTCATGATGCTTGGGGAGGATTACATGCTGGCGATCGTCATTGTCAATTATGAGGGTAGGTACCGTACAGCTGCAGCATTCTCGGGGATATGCTTGCCGGTCCGGGGGAGGGATACGGGGGCCCAGATCGGGCGCTTTTTTTTTTTGGGGGGGGGGGGGGTGGTGGCTTTGGCTGGGTGCCCCGGATCCCCGCGAGTGACGGGCCGGCATACTGGGTGAAGCACAGCCGCCCCCACCGGCCCCCAGTGCCCCCTCCCTGTGTTTCATGGTGAGGGGGACCCTGACGCTAAGAATCACGGAGCCCAGCTATGTGACTTGGGAATCCTCTCGCTCTGGGTCCGATTTCCAGTGCAGCACTGCGATTCCGACAAGCCAGTGCCAGACCTCCCGGACAGGCAGGATCCGTTGGAAATCGGCCGGTCTGCTAACTCTGGGCTCTGGCTGCCAGGTGCCGCTCCTGCGTGTCTGTGTGTGTGTGTGAGAGAGAGAGACCCTGCTCATGTGTGTGTGTGTATCCTGTGTGTGTATCCCTCAGTGTGTGTGTGTGTGTGTGTGTGTGTGTG